TAATGGAGTTTGCTTGTACGGTGTTTGTGAAACTGCGGCCGCCCACGCCCTGCTTCTCCTGGTCTCTGTGTACCCTGCCTGCACACTGTCTGTTTGTGATTTGTTCTAGCAAGTATCTGTTCATGAGAAATAAGCTCTCCAGGATTCACTGGACCAACAACTACTTGTTCTAGCATGTTTATTTCAAGCAATTTGTGATCCATGCTGTTTGATGAACCAGTACCCGCGTCGGGAGACTAGTAGGGAACTTGCAACCTTCAGCTTTCTCACTAGTAGTCACTTATCCTGTCGTTCATGTCCATACAACATTTGTCCTTGTTCTATGTTACAACTGCTGCAAAAAATTTATTAATGTGGGATGTGGCTCTATGTCCAGTTCTGTTTCTCTTCTAAAGAAATCCCCTCTTCCTCTTGTGTGCAGCAAGTTGATTGTTTTGTCTCTGTATTATTGTGCAGATTGGCCAAGTGTCCGTCGATCTACAAGCCGGTTTAAGAGCTGGGATTGGCCGGTCGAATTCAACACGGAGCTGAGTATATGTCAACACATTTCATCCATCAAGCGCCGCCTCGCCGCCTCCGGCCACCCCGACGACGCCCTCGCCTACGCCAACCTCCACTCTTGCATGAGGTACACGTGCATTTCTATTGCTATTGCTCGCACTTTGTTCCTGATGTATTCATTTGACAAATGAACCTAGCAGCATCAAAGTCCAGAATATCCACACCAAAATGCATTGGCGTGCTGAAGCCTTCCTTAATTAATTCCCATTGAGCAAAGATATTGAACTATGATAATTTGGTTGCAGTATTGCATTGCTGGTGTTTCATGCCATATTCATCATGTCCTGCTCACATGCCTTATGATTGAGTAACTTTGATTGTATTTCTACCACTGCCCTATCTCAGTAAACTGCTTGTTTTTTCAATGGCTAAAGTACTATCTCCTGGAACTATATCTGCCTCCATATGTTCTTGCTAGCATTAAATGTTGCAAGTACAAGTTAGAAATGTAGAATTGTGATATTGTGCTGGGAGCATCTTGCTACAGTCATCAGTTAGATTTCAGCTTTGCATATTTTCAGGTTTAATTGTTGGTTTACATTAAAACTGTTAAGCAAGTATCAAATTGAGTGCATAGTTTGCAATTTGTCTGTAGTAATCTAGTAGCACATAAGCATCAGACCGTATGTTTTCTTATAAGCAAACTATATTGATGGTTGCAAGCTCAGTTAAAATATACTAGTGCTACCTTGATTTTTATACTGCTTGCCATTTATTTCTTCGTTTGATGTTTTATATGCTTCATTTTAGGCTGTGTGCGCGTGGCGGCAGCGGTGCGGCTGGGCTCGAGGAGCTGCGACGCGGAAGGGAGGGAGTTGCTTCCTCTTGTCCTGCTTCGTGTCCCTGGGGTGGATATAGCTGCGCAGGGGGCGGCCGAGGAGGGTGCAGGCGGCTGCGGCGTGAAGAAGAGGAGGAAGAAGGCGGCGGTGGATTTGGGCTGCGTGCGAGTCAGGCTGCGGCGGGGAGCTGCTGTTGTTGGTGCTGCTGAACAGAGGAGGAACTGCAGCTGCTGCTCCCTTGTGCTGTTCCTGGAAGCTTGCTGAGCTACTGCTGCTTGTGTGGCTGCTTCTTGCTGCTGCGGCAGAGAAGGAAAGAGGTGCAGCCTGCTAAACAGTAAGAGCTGGGCTTTACTGCTTTACAGAGTTTTTTCTTCTTCTGTGGACTTGCTGTTGTGAGCTTGGTTGTGATGGTGGTTATTACTGTTACATGTTACATGTAGAGATACTTCATGATTTAGTCCGTAATTGCTTTCTATATTTTTTTATTTTGTTTCTAACTCTTTTGGTTTATTGTTAGATGCCTTCGTTCAGTTTGTACGAACACATCCAGAAATGGTGTTTCCTCTCATTTAAGAAGCTCCAGCCTGAAAGTGAAGTCAGGAGTATAGTTGTAGTAGTAGTTATATGTTGTGATAGTATCACATGTAATGGTGAAATGAATTATGTAAAGATTGTGCTCTTAGCCAAAATTGGCATGTGGTTTGAAAATTTTCATTTCTTTGCTGTTCTGACTGAAATAATTGTGTGGAAATTGAAACCTGGTTTGTCTTTAATTAGAACCTGACAAGTGGGACCTAATAGTATTTGGCATCTAAAATGGGCATTTTCCAAATAATATTCATAGGGAAAAAACTAAAAATTAAGGAAATGGACAGTAAAAAGGCTGAGGCCCAATTGAGAAATAGATGCGACCCAAAAAATAAATGGTCTAAAAAAGGATCACCTGGAAATAAAAAGGCTGCAATATTGGGCTTGGCCCATGAACCCAGCCAAAAATTGACAGACAAAAAAAAACACAAATAGGCTGAATTGTTGGGCTAGGCCCATGTAGAAAACCGAATTGGACCGGGCTGAATCTTGTGCCACGTCAGCTTGCCATGCTGGATGCCTACGTGGCCTGGGGAGGTTGCTAGTGACCAAAATGCCACAGTAGGAATATTTTGGTTGTAAACATCTTCGACCATTCCAGAAGAAAGGTCGCTATAGTCAGTTTATGACGGCCAGCTTTTGACCTTCTGTTTTTGGTCACAAAAAGGTCGCAAATGGAAATTTGTGACCTTTCAGTGACCAATAGTGGTGGTCACAAGTTGACATATTTCTTGTTGTGGTTAGCCCATTAGTCCCGGTTCGTGCGCCCAGGGACCACATGGGCCATTTGTCCCGGTTCGTCTGGACCTTTTAGTCCCGGTTGGTGCCACGAACCGGGACTAAAGGGTGCGATGCCCATTAGTACCGGTTCGTGGCACCAACCAGGACTAAAGGTTAGACCTTTAGTCCCGGTTCGAGCCACCAACTGGTACTAATGGGGTTTGAGGCATTAGTACCGGTTCATGGCACGAACCGGTATAAAGGTCACACATTTTC